GTAAAGGAAACAGGCCCTCTCTCCCTCTCCTCATGGAGCAGCCTCATGTGGCAGAGGCTTGAAGTCCAGCCTCGGCCTCAGGGAGGCCTGGGCTAGTCCAGGCCTAGGCTGGTGCTGGCAGTGGCATGCTGGTCAGGTCGTCTAGCTTTCTGGGGCCTCCCTGCACCTAAAACAGGCGTTTAAAGTTCAACGGACACATTGTTTTTGCATCCCAAGCATCTCCAGACATGCACCTGGAGCAAAACCAGGCAGCCTTCTGCACCCGTATCTCCTACCTCTCCAACAAGGGGAGGGAGGGAGGCGCACTTCCCCATGACTCTTCTTGGGTCGAGGCTGGTGGTCCTTCTACCCCAGAGGCATGCTGGGAAGGCCGAAGGAGACCGGGGGAGGTTGGCGGGTTGTTCCTTCGTTCTCAAAGAGGACCAAAATGATGTCACAGTGTTAGAGTTAAGTTACAGCGCTTCTGACTGCAGCTGATTAGACCGATATGAGCTAGGAAAGCTTTACCACAGGTCAAGCACAAATAGTCCAGGTGAACATTTGGGGTGGATTCGCTAAAATTGTGCATCTGACATTTCCTTTGAACTATTTTAATTCTGCTTTGCTCATAGAGCATAGCACCTTCCCTGATGAGGGCATGCCATGCTGAGTGGTCCTGGTCCAAGGTTTCCCATGTCACACAATCAATTCCAAAGATCTTCACACAGACCTTGAGAATGTCCTTGTATCACTTCTTCTGACCACCATGTGAATGCTTGCCCTGTGTAAATTCTCTAAAATGTCTTTTACGCAAGTGCATGTTTTGCAATTATACAATGGAGCCAGCCTATCAGAGTTACACACTCTGCAACAGAATTTGAATGCCTGGCAATTTAGTTTGAGAATGGACCTCAGCGTCTGGTGTCTTATCCTGCCTGGTGATCTTCAGAATCTTCCTAGGACAATCCACATGGAAGTGATTCAGCTTCCTGGCATGGCGCTGGTACACTGTTCGGGTTTCACAGGCGTACAACAATGAAGTCAGCACAACGGCTCCGCAGACCTTCAGAATGGTAAGCAGTCTAATCCCTCTTCTCTCCCACACTTTCCTTCACAGTCTCTCAAACACTGGCAGTGCGTGTGTCAACCTCATCAACGTGTACATCCCCGGAAAGTATACTGCCAAAATAAGGGAACTTATCTACAGCATTCAGAACTTCTCCATTTGCTGTGACTGATGGTTCCACATACGGATGGTGTGGTGCTGGCCAGTGGAGCACGTGTGTTTTCTTGATGTTAATTCTTAGGCCAAAATTATCCCAAGCGGAAGAGAATTGATCCATACTTTGCTGCGTCTCAGCTTTAGAGGCTGCATTGAGTGGATAATCATCTGCAAACAGAAAATCACGCACCAACACTCCCTCCACTTTGTTCTTGGCTTGTAGCCTTTTCAGGTTGAAGAATTTACCATCGGTGAGGTATCTGACCTTGATGCCGTGTTCATCCTCATCGAAGGTGTCTGACAACATGGCTGAAAACATCACGGTATGGGTGCGGTCACATAGCCTTGTTTCACTCCATTGGTGACAGGGAAAGCATAAGAGCATTGTCCGTTATCCAGAACCCAGGCAAGCACGCCATAGGGAAAGTGACGTACAATGCTGACGAACTTCTCCAGGCAACCAAATTTTGACGTAATTTTCCATAAGTCCTCACGACTGACGGTATCAAAGGCCTTGGTCAGATCTCTGTTCTACTCAGGAAAGGGCTCAGCAATGACTTAGATCAGTTTTGCTTCTTCTCCACTAGGGGTCGCCCTGAAGTGGGGAGCTGGGATCAGCGTGGAGAGCAGGCATCCTTATCTCGTTTTATTTTACTGGGCTTTAAATTTTAAATACACGGCATTTGTTGTTGTTGTTGTTTTACAAACTGAAGGTCTGCGGCAACCCTACACCGAGCAAGTCTGTCGGCGCCATTTTCCAGCAGCACGTGCTCACGACATGTATCTGGGTCACCACATTTCATTCTCACAATATTTCAAATGTTTTCCTTACTATTCTCTCTGCCGCACTGATCTGGGACCAGCGGTCTTTGATGCTGCGATTGTCCTTGTTTTGGGGCGCAACGAACCACGCCCATATAAGACATGGGTAAATCGGTGTGTTCTGACCGTTCCTGCTCATTCCCCATCTCTCTTCCCCTTCCTCCCCCAGGCCTCCCTGTTCCCTGAGACAAACAATATTGAAGAATATTGCATAAACTGAGTTGATAAAGCAGCGGAGTTTGAGAAGATTGACTCCAATTTTGAAAGGAGTTCTATGTGGCGTGAAATGCCTTCAAACAACATCGCATTCTACAGAGAAATCATTCGTGAAAGAGCTGAACAATGGGGCAGATTTCATTGTTGTTTTATTTTAAGAGATTGCCACAGCCAGCCCAGCCTTCAGCAGTCACCACCCTCATCAGTCAGCAGCCATCAACATTGAGGCGAGACCCTCCACCAGCAAAGACTGTGGCAACTCGCTGAAGGTCCGGTGATGGTTAGCATGTTTTTTTTAAGCAATAAAGTATTTTCAGTTAAGGTATATACGTTTTTTAGACATAATACAATATTGCACACTCAGTAGACTACAGTATAGTGTAAACACAACTTTTATATGTACTGGGAAACCAACAAATTCACTGGACTCGCTTTCTTGTGATAATATGATAATCGTTTCACTGCGGTGGTCCGCACTATCTTTGAGGTGTGCCTGTAGACTCGGGGCACGATGGAGAATTCCCCTGAAAGTTCACGGAGGTGCTGCCCACCTCTCTGAGCATTCCTGCGTCTTCTTTCAGGACCCCCTCCTCATCCAAGTCCCCACCCAGGGCCAATGTACTGCCCCTTCACGGGACAGATATGGACTGAATCCTCATCAATACCTATCTGTGCTGGGTCCAGTGCACCGCGAGGGCTCACATTTAAAATGACTTGGAACTACTGATCTACACCTGGGTCATTAGAGGTCATCTAGGCCAATTCCTTCCTTTTATGGAAGAGGAAACTGAGGTATGGGAAAGGAGAGAGGCGTTGCCCCAAAGTCACTCAGGCGGTAAACAGCCAAGCCAGGACCCCAGTGGAGACGCTCACACAATCGCCCCTTCTCTCTGACTAACTTGGATCCCCTTTATCTCTCCCTTTCTGCTGGTCCCCTCCCCAAAACAGAACAAAGACCCTCCCCTCATGCTATTGCCCCACCACTCTTCCCCCCTCCTGGCCTCCCCTGCCCCATCACTCAACTGAGAGTGGCCAAAGCTGATGGCCTTTTCTCTATCCTCGTACTTGGCCCCACGGAGCTCCCGACACTGTTGGCCACGTTTCCATCCTCAACACTCCCCTCTTGGGGTTTTCATGACCCTTGGCTCTCTTGATTCTCTTCCCACCTGTCTGCCCCTTCTGTTGTCTGTTAGCTCATTGTCCATATCCCACCCCTCAACCCTGGGTGTCTGATGTAGGCCCTCTTCCCCTTTCCCCTAACCCTGAGTGTCTGATCTAGGCCCCGTCCTTCACTCCTCTGACCCTGGGTGTCTGATCTAGGTCCCCTCCTCTTCTCCCGACCCTGGGTGTCCGATCCAGGCCCCCTCCTCCTCTCCCCTGACCCTGGGTGTCCCATCCAGGCCCCCTCCTCCTCTCCCCTGACCCTGGGTGTCCCATCCCGGCCCCCCCCTCCTCTCCCCTGACCCTGGGTGTCCGATCCAGGCCCCCTCCTCCTCTCCCCTGACCCTGGGTGTCTGATCCAGGCCCCCTCCTCCTCCTCGCTCTCTGCTACACTCTCACTCTTGACAACCTCATTGGTTCACATGGCTTTCGTGACTGTGCTTATATGTCACCATCCGGCCTTACTCTCTCCTGAGCACTGGTGTCAGTGGACATCTTGTGGGTCTTTGGGTATGTCTAAAACAGAGGTCATCCCGCCCCTTCCCACTACTCTCCCCACTTGCTGTGCCTGCCCACAGCACTGTCGTCCTCCCTCTCACCAGCTTTAAGCCCTTGGCTTCATCCGCGGTTCCTGCAGTTCACACGGGGGGCCAGACTTTGGTGTTCTTCTTGTCACAACATTCCGTGCGCCCATCTCCCCCTCCCCCACACTCATGGCCACCATCCTCGTTCATAACATAAAAGGATAAATGACAACAACTAAATTGCTTCTTGGTCTTGGTCAACCGGCATGGAGTGTCTTCCTCTACCAAATTCTAGCTTTGGACTAAATGATCTCCAAATCCCTTTTAATTCATTCCAATCCCACCATGTAATTCAACCCAATAAACATTTAAAGGCACATAAGCTGTACAGGTCACTGGATCGTCTATGGTTCTGAGAAGAGAGTGGAGGAAAAAGCCAAGAAGGCGAGGAAGAAGGGGTTGGGGAAACCCTCAGGACAGGATATCCCTCCACGTTTGGAGGTCAAGACAGGTCGGAGGCATCAGACTAAATGAAGATGCCTTAGGGGGAGAGCGAGGGACCAGGAGAAGGCCAAGAGAATGAACCAGAAAAGACTCAAGTCCTTTCCTCGGTGCCTACAGAAATCAGAGCGAATCCTGCAGGAGTTAGCATGGACCAGAGGCTGGTCCAAACCGAGACACCAGACGTCTCGAGTAGCCGGCAGAGAAAGGCCTGGCCTGAGAAGGGCTGAACGTAGGCACCCGAGCAGGGAACGGAGAAACAAGGAAACCACCAAATAAATCACGTCTACAGCGGGAGTCAGTGCTCCGTATCTGGAATCCGCACGCCCCCTGAAAGCAGAGCCAAGGGGCTGCCTTCATGCCATCGCTCGGGACTGACGCCCGAGGAAGGGGAAGCGCGCTAAGGCTCCCGTCAGCCAGCACTCACGCAGTGCTCCCCATGCACCATGCCCCGGGTGAGGCCGGCGGGGAGAGCAGGGAGCCTTTGGCTCAGGCTGTCCTTGGGACAACCTTGCCAACCAAAGGGGGTGAGCGGTCAGAAGATAAAAGTCAAAACAAGCGCCAAGGCAACGGCGGCCTCTTCAGGATCTCGTGTTTTATTAAATGAGTGTTTACAAAAATAAACCATATTACTCATTAGACATCTCCGAAAGGATCTGACCCCAAGGACGCTTGGCAGCACACTGCGTTACATAAATAGAATTAAGCTCAGAAAAAAAGTCCATCAGGAACCCCACAGCCTTGGCTGCGGGCATTCTGCCCGTGACATGAAAACGACCGAGCAAGACGAGGCAGCCCACAGGGTTCTGGAAGCACCACCTGATCTGGGACGACGACTGCCGGCCCGCCCGGCCCTCGGCCGACATGATTTTAAAATAATGATAAACGAAGCAGCTGTTCTTTAGTAATAATGGAATTAGACACAAATTAAGTCCTTTCACGTGGCTGGCATTTCTCCTAAATTGCACCAAATTAATTCGGAAGCACTTGGTTTGGTCTTATAGGCAAAATGAAAAAGAGGAAGCAGGTCCAGAGCTCTGAACGGCCACGCCCCTCACATTTCTGAGTCCGCGTACATGCCGTTGATTAAGTAGTCGACTTGGGTGTAGTCTTTCTTCTTATAGCTCTCGTACGCCTGCGTGGTCAACAAGACCAAGACGGCGATGAAGAACACGGTGCCGGCCAAGAGCATGGCCAGGAGTAAGTTTCTATTGACCAAATACTGGGTGAAGGGCGCGGTAGCAATCCACATGTACGGGCTCTCCGTGACCGTCCGTGCCGATGTTTCGAGCGTTGTGGGTGAGCTCTCAGCTGGGCTCAGGGTGGTTTGGGGGACGGCTCTTTCTGTATTCTGTGAAGTGCCTGAGGTCTCTGCGGCCTGGGCAGTCGTGGTTGGCGCGGCGGTCGGCGTCGCTTTGCGGTCTGTCGCTCGAGCGGTGAATGGCGCTGGTTCTGGTTTGGTGGGGGACTCCGCCCTGGTGCCGGTGGCGATGCTGGGGGTGCTCGTGAAGGCTTCCGCCGAGGCTTTGGAGCTGAAGGGAGCTGGGGATGAGGTGGCTACTGGGATTTCTGGACTCAATGACCCACGCGCAGACCCGCCTTTTGGTGGGACCAGTGAGCTGGATGTTGGACTAATTCCAGAATGTGTGGGCAGAGCCTGGACGGTGGGGCTGCTGGCAGAGCCTGCTTTTGGCCCGGTGGCAGTGGTTCCTGCCGGGGTGCTCGGCGAGTCGGCGTGGTCGTCTGTTTGATTCCGTGTCACCGGCAGGGAAGCAGAGCCCACTCTCGTACTCGGGGCCGACGCCATCATCCTCGTCGCCACGGAGGTCTTTTCGGTGGTTCTCTGTACCTGGGGCGTGGTGAGTGCCGAAGACCCGACTGTCGCAGCCGACGTGGCTGGACCCAAAGACGAGGAGGTGTTCGGGGTTGCGGAAATGCTCCCGTAGGTACCGTTCAGAGTCTCGGTTCCCAGTTCCGTGTGGTTGCCAGCACTCACCGAGACAGGAGGCGTCTTCTGGGCTATCTCTCTGGTATTTCTGATGATCGTGTTAGGGGGAGGAGCTGGAGAAGGCCCCGGGTGAGCACGAGTGAGCAAAGGTTCCGTGGTGGTGACATTGTTCTGTTTCTCTAACGCATATTCTTAAAAAAAAAAAAAAAGTTGGGGAAAAAGCCCAATCAGTTCTCAATGAGCCGCAGCAAACCTTGCTTCCCAAACCCTCCCTCCTCTGTGGCAGTGCCCGCTCTGCGGAAGGACCACACTCTTCATCGGCCCTGCCAGCTCTCCCTTGATGACCTTCCCCACCTTGGTCCTTCTTGGCCTCTCTGCAGCACTGTGAATCTGCCTCTACAGCTACATTCTGCAAGCATTTATAAAGCCCCTACTATGTGCACAGAGATAGTCCCCGCCCTCGAGGAGCTTACAGTCCAGTAGTCCTGGATATGCTCTCCCTTCTGAGTTTTCACAATACCGCTCTGGAGGCTGAGTGGATAGAGTGATGGACGTGGAATCAGGAGACTTCAGACACTTCCTAGCTGCGTGACCTTCGGTAAGTCACCTAACCATTCTGTGCCTCACCGTCCTTATCTGTAAAATGGGTATAATCACAGCACCTAACTCATAAACCTGCTGTGAGACTCAAATGAGAAAGTAAATATACGCAGAGTCCTTAGTCCTAAGGCACTTTATGAATGTTAGTCATTATCAATGATGATTTTTATCAAGATTGTTTTCGTTCAGTCACTTTTCATTCATGTCCCACTCTTGGTGACCCCATTTGGGGTTTTTTTGGCAAAGGTACTGGACTGCCACTTCCTTCTCCAGCTCATTTTACAGATGAGGAAACTGAGGCAAACAGGATGAAGTGACTTGCCCAGAAACTCAGGAACATGAATCTTCCTGCCTCCAGGCCTGTGCTCTCTCCACTGTGGCACCCTCCCCTTCAGCTGCCCACACCATGACTAGGGCTGCTTCTCTCCAAGCACTCCTCGGGGGGGGCGGGTCCCCTTCCCTTCTTTCTCTACACTTGGTGACCTCACCACCTCTTAGGGGTTCCAGGGGGTTCGGCTCTAATTTAATGACCTCCAGATCCGGACAACCAGCCCTCGGCTTTCTCCAGCTCTAGTCGGCCTCACCCCCCAAGTGCCTGTCGGACGTTACCAGTTTTATTTCCTGTGGGCGCCTCACACTCCATGTGCCCCAAACACATCTCATTATTTCCCCCCAAACTCTCTTCAGGGCCCTCCTCGACTCCTCCTCTCCCTCACCCCATCCCTCTGATCAGCCGTCATCTGGGGGGTTCTCGGAGGCCCCTCAGACACCCAGCCTCTCCTCTCCACTCCCAAGCTCAGGCCTCATCCCCCTCACCTGGATTCTTACAACAGGCCCCTTAGTGGCCTCCCTGCCTTAACCCACTCTGCCCCAGACCATCATTTGCCAAAAGCAGGTGCCCTTCACCCCAGATAATCCTTATTACCTCTAGGACCAAATGCAAACCCAATATCTCTGGCATCTGACTCTGAACTCTGATTCACACCTGGTCTCAACCTGCCTCTCACGCTGCATCATTGCACAAGAATGTCCCCTTCACATGGCCTTCCTCCACTGACCCCTCCTAAGAACCGCCTCCCTGCTGCTGAGGACTCTCCTCCCCACCCCTCCCAATCATCATGCACTTACTTAACCCCTGAGAAAGTGAGTGAGGATGTCCCAAGTGTCTGTGAGTGCAGGGACACCCAAAACCCTTGAACCCCCCGGCCACTGTCTCCCTTTATTAGCTCTAAGCTCCTTCAGGGACCATTTGTGTCTCTGGACCCCTAGCACCTGGCATGCCGCCTGGCACAGAGGGGGCACGAGATAAACGCTTGCCGACTGACTGGGGATCGGACCAGAGAAGCCCTCTGAAAGCCAAACATCCATCTCACAGGAGCAGGGAGTCGGGCCAGGGAGGAGTCGGGGGGAGAGCTCGGGAAGAGGGCAAGGAGGAGGGCCAGGAATCTCCAGCTCCCCTCAAACCAGGCCTGCCTAGCAGTGGTGCAACGCGATGTAAATGTGTGCCTCCCTTCAAGATGACTCAAAATTCAAAACACTGACTCGATCAAACAAATAGACTGAAGAAGGGTGAGTTTGTTTCACAAAGAGTCTTACTGCAAGGCCCCTTTGAAGAGTGTGCTCTTTCCAGCACACTTAAAGCCTGATTCCACTTCCAAAGAAGCTGAGGCCTGGGGCATTCGGAAGGCCAGGCCCTGCAGGCCAGGTCAGGTCAGGCCAGGCGGAAGCTGAGGAGGGCTAGGGCAGGCTTCCTGCCAACAACGCCCTGCAGAGCCTGGCCTGGCCCATCAAGACCCCACTGTCCCTTCCTGAGACTGCGGGATGTGGGGACGCCACCTCCTCCTCGGCTCCTTTGTGCCACGAGCCGTCCTATGGATAAGGTCCGAGCTCCACCCCGATACTCCATAGTCCCCTGGGCTCAGCCGCACAGCACCCGCTTTCTCAGCTTACTTTGGAGTGGACATCACTTAGACAACACAGAGCCCTGAAACGCCCAGGCACCTGCGACTAGTTCTTGAATATCCTGAGGTCCGGCATCCTGGCACGCGGTCATCTGCGGACAGTCTAGGACAATACAACGTCCTGGCTCCTCTGTGGACAAACTGCAGAAAGTGTGACCTACAAGCAATGCAGAGACCAGGCCCGGGCTGAGGGAATGCCATTCCAGCCCAGAGCGACACAAAACAAGTACCAGCGGACTCCCTCCCAGCCCCCAAGGTCGCTGCTGGCAAGGGCCACAAAGACCCCCAAGGGAGGGGGACAGACGGGTGGACGGACAGACATCAGCCTTGAGTCTCCTTGGGGACCAACCAAGCTTTGCTGGTGCTTCAGGACACGGACTGAGACCCCAGGAGTGGGGGACTCTGGAGCCATCAGCTAGGAGAGGGTTTCCAATGCCCCAGTCCCAGCTCTTCCCCCCTGCATCTCCAAATAAAATGAAAGAACTCCTTTGAACAAGAATCAGGGTGTGCCAGAGTCCTGATGCATTTTTGGGTGTCCCTCCACACCTAAGCCGAGTGAAGCCTTGAGAGAGGTTGAGGATGGGAGGGAAAAGGCTGCAACCAGACAGAGGCCTGCCCTCATGGTGCTTCTGCTCTGGCAGGGCCCGTGACATCAAACAGAACCTCCCCAGTTTATATTTGGGACAAGGCGTTTGGCACACCCAGAGATGGACACGGTCTCACAATTCTGGACAGGCTGCTTTACCGAGCAGAGAAAGCCCTGTGGCATGAGGACCACCAAACTTGGTCCCAGAGAAGATGTGAGAAAATGCCCCAGCCGCCTTTCCTTTCAGATGCGGGAGGCTACAGGTATGGAACATGGCATACGCTGGCAGAATCCTGCCGGCTGGTTTGGTGGCACTACTTTTTGACTCTGTTCCAAGACAAGGGTGCAGAGGGAAGGGAAAGAGTGACTTTTCCCCAGCTCCCAGGAAGCTCCTCCCTCATCCCGCAAAGTCTCATCAGCCATGTGCACTGTGGGCCCATGAGCTCCAAACCTGCACTGAAGGAGAGAGCTCAGCCCCAACATCTCCTTTGCACCACCTTGGGATGTCTCTGACTGGCCCTTTACCAGGCCCTCACTCCCACCCTTTTCGGCCTCCTCTGGTGTCTAACCTTCCTCCGTTAGACTGTAAGCTCCTTGAGGGCAGGGCCTATTTGTATCTTAGTATAGGGCCTGGCGCCTAATAGGTGCTTAACAAATGTTTGCTGACTAGTGACAGAGAGGGAGAGATTGGGAAATGGAGGGGATGTAAAAATAAAATATCCCAATAACGATTAATGAGGTCCCGTCTTCATAATATCCCTGGATGTCAAGCAGTACAAGAATGTTGCCCCATTCTCTAGATAAGAAGACTGAGGCTCAGGAGACCCTAGCCTTAGTGCCTCCTCCTCACAGGCCCATGGAGGCGCAGGGACTTGCCCAAAGTTACAGAGACAGAATGCATCAGAGATGGGACCGGAACCTGGACCCCCTGACTCCAGAATCAGTCAGCTCCCTTTTCACTACGACAAAGGAGAGAGGAAGAAATTTGCCTGAGGTCACATCCCTAGGAAGAGCCAGAGGGTGACTCCCTCTTTGTCACCTCTGGCTGCTGACCTGTCCTTAGTTCAGATCTTGGCTCGGAAGCGGCATGAGTCTTTGCCAAAGAGAGGGCAAGGAAAGCCTGCCCGGGAACGGGCACGTCCCCGCCTCGTGCCCCCGGGCCAGGGGCCTCTGCTCACCTGCCATGCCTGGGTCTTTGCACGTTTGGCTACATTGCTCTTGGCTCTGGACTCTCTGTATCTGGAGCACCTGGGCCTGGCTCTCTTTCAAGGAGGAAAGGCGATTCTGTGACAAGGACAAGGACAAAGAAGAAAGCCAAAGGAAGGTGACGGGTGCCCACATCTTGAGGGGGAGCTCCAAGCACGACGTGATGGTCTCCAAGCTCCCTGGGAGGAAGGTCTGGCTCCCGACACGCTTGCTTCTGCTCAAACGTGAGGCATCTGCAAACAAGAGGGCATGCTAGTTAAGAAGACATTCCTCGAGGGGCAGCTAGGTGGCGCAGTGCATAGAGCACTGGCCCTGAAGTCAGGAGTACCTGAGTTCAAATCTGATCTCACACACATAACACTCACTAGCTGTGTGACTCTGGGCCAGTCACTTAACCCCAACTGCCTTAAAAAAAACCCAAAAACATTCCTTGGAAAGGTGCATACGGCTGGTGGCATCTGTCCCTGGGCCAGAAATCCAAAGGATTGACCTCACTGCTTTTTGTTTGCTCAACAAACTGGGGGAGCGCTGGTTGGAGAAAATGCCCCCGAGGGGATCTGCAGAGCGTTTGTAAAAGGAGACCTGGATTCTACACACGCAGTCACAGGAGGCAGCTGTGTGCAGTGGACGGAGTCAGGAAGACCCGAGGTCAACTCCTGGTTCAGACGCTGCCCAGCTGTGTGACCCTGGACAAGGTGCCGGAGCCCTCTGAGCCTCCATCTTCTCATCTGTAACATGGGAAGGGGAAGGGCTGTTGCAAAGATCTAACGAGATCACATACATTAAGCGTTTTGCAAACCCGAAAGCGAGACACCAGCGCCAGCCAGCAGCAGCTGCAGAGACTAGTAGGAAGTAGTTTCTCTGTCTTTCTATCTGTTCAGTTCCTGACCCCCTCTGGGGTTGTCTTGGCAGAGATGCCAGAGGGGTTTGCCATTTCCTTCTCCAGCTCATTTACAGATGAGGAAACTGAAGCAAATAGGGGGAAGTGACTGGTCCAGGGTCACGCAGCTAGGACGTATCTGAGGCTGGATTTGAACTCATGAAGATGAGTCTCTCTGACTTGAGGCCACTATGGCGGCACCTACCTGCCCTCATTCTCAGGGCCCACCCTCAAGTCATCCAAGAAGTTAGCTGGGGGGCTACTTCATCTCTCTTCAGTAACCCTCAAAGCACAGTGCCTTCCACACTGCCCTCAAATACCTGCTGAATGGATGGATGGATGGATGGATGGGTGGATGGAAGGATGGGTGGGTGGATGGATGGAAGGAAGGATGGAAGGATGGATGGATGGATGGATGGATGGATGGGTGGATAGATGGATAGATGAGTGGATGGAAGGATGGAATGATGCATGGAGGGATGGATGGGTGGATGGATGGATAGATGAGTGGATGGAATGATGGATGGGTGGGTGGATGGATGGATAGATGAGTGGATGGAAGGATGGAATGATGGATGGATGGGTGGATAGATGAGTGGATGGAATGATGGAATGATGGATGGATGGGTGGATGGAAGGATGGATGGATGGATGGAAGGATGGATGGATGGGTAGATGGATGGATAGATGAGTGGATGGAAGGATGGAATGATGGGTGGATGGATGGATAGATGAGTGCATGGAAGGATGGAATGATGGATGGATGGATGGATGGATGGTTGGAGCTGACACATCAGGAGGCCATTATGTAGCACAGGAGGGAAAGTAGCTTGAAAGAAACAATCAACAGGTATTAATTAACCACCTGCTACATAAACACCACATAAAATGTGTGCTTCCAACTCAGGAAGAGGGAAACCTGAGAAGATAATGGTGGGGAGGGAGAGGGGAAGGTATCCTATTTAAAATGGTGACTCTCTTGCTTTTGCCCCATAGAAACAGGCTCTTGGGGCTCCTGCCTGATTGGGGGGTGGATGCCGGTGAGACCACAAGACTCAGCGGCCTGTTGGCGGCTCCAGCTCCCTTCCAAGCTCGGCTCCGTTGCCACCTTTGACCTGAGGCCTTTCCTCATTCGCCAGATGCTGGGGCCTCCCCTTGGAAATCACCTTGTATTGAGTCTATCTGTACTCTGGAGGGACTCCTGTGTGTACATGTGGACTCCCCCATAGCTTTCAAGCGGCCAATTCATCTCTGTCTTTGTATGGCCAGCATGGCCCAGTCCCTGGCATGCAGCAGATGCTTATGGATCAAATCCAATCAGTAAACATTCATTGATCACCTGTCATGGGCCAGGGAAACACTGTAAGGGCTATGAGAGAGGAGTAGCAAGTACAGGGCTCCTACCGTCACAGATAAAAGACTAGTCAAGGGAAACACAGACATACACACGGAAGGGAGAAAGGGAGGCCATAATGACCTGAAAGGCAAGGTGAGGGAGAAGAACACATTTAGGAAGAAGGAGGCATAGGGAGAGACAGAAAGTACTAGGGGGTCATGGGTTAGAATTCTTGCCAGCGGAATGCACTTGTGGGCAAGAATCACAGGTGTGTTTGTCCCTGTGGGCGGCTGAGGTGGAGGGAAGAACAAGGCGCCTCCCACGATGCACAGTGGGAATGAAGGCTAGAGAGGCAGGCTGAGGCCATAATGGGCAGAGCTCAGAGAGCCGGGTGGAGGACTATGGACTTGATCAACCTTGCCAGAGTTCAAGGGTCACTGATACTGGGCAGGTAAGTCAACTTTCACTTCTCCCTCTCCTGCCCTGAGTGTATAACCCAGAGTGATCACCTCCATACCTTCCAAGAGCGATCAGCAGCCAGTGGAGACCCTTCTCCCTGGAGATGGCAGTCTCCCTCCCCTCCTTTCACTGATGGCATTACGGGGTTTAAAATAGAAACAAATCCAAACCCCCAAAAAACAGGAAAGGGGGCCTGAATGAAGCTGTACCTGGCACATTTACCCCGCAGCGGAACCAAGTAGCTTGGCTCCTCCCGGACACCGGGGCTGGGCCTTGTCCACTTCTCCTGGCCACAGGAGCCAGTCTCCCATACTGACTTCCAGTTTGCCAGACTTCCCAAATGTTGAGGAATCTGGGGACTTGAGATTGGCAGATTTCTTATTTCACATATAGTGAGCAACAGCAGTGTGGTATAGTGGTCAGGGAGCTGGCCTGAAAACTGACCCATGCTGCTTGGGCGATGTTGGGTCAACCTCTCAGGGCTCTAGGTCAGAGGGGTCAAACTCAGGCTGCCTGGGACCAGAGTAAAATAAAATTGGGAGATGTTTAACAAAATAAATAAAAACACAACCTAACGCAACAGAGATCATGCTAACTAGCAGCTCCCGCAGCTGCCCTACATGGGCAGAAAGGGCTTCCTCCCCTAAGAGGTCCACAGGGCCAGTGCTCAGCCCTTCACAGAGAAGCTGCTGACGCCACCCGGAGGGACACCTTTCGACATTTCCTCCACTAGCCACCAAAGGCACTGCTTCCTGGTGCTGTGAGGGTGCCAAGCTTGGCCTTGGACAGGTCCTCCCAGCCCCAGAGCTGCTCTCCAGGGGCCGGCCTTGTCTTCCCAATGAGGAGGGAGGAGAAGCAAGGAGGGAATTTGAAACTCAAAATTTTTAAAAATGAATGGCAAAGATTTTTTACAGGTAATTGGAAAAAAAAATCAAGTATCTGAAAAATAAACAATCCAGTCCCCTGTTTCCAGTTACCTGCTGGACAGCTCCACCTGGACATCTCAAGGGAACTAGAGACTCAGCACATCCAAACTAGACTCAGTTTATTTCCCCTAAAATCCCTCCCTCCCCCAATCCCCCCCATTTCTGCGGGTGGCTCCACCCTCCTTCCAGACATGGAAGTCTGCGGCCCTAGGGTAGGCTTGACTCGTTCCTCTTCCTCAACCCCCAAACCCAATCAGATGCCCATTCCTGTCTGTGCTATCTCTACACATCTCTTGTACGGGCCCTCTTCTCTCCACTCACACAACACGGCCTTTCCTTTAAATCAGCCTCTTACCATCTCGTTAACAGTCCTCCTGTTTCTATTCTCTCTCCTCTCCAATCCACTCTCCATATTTGCTTCAAAAAACAAAAAAAGGTAAAACCACGTCACCTCCTTACCCAGAAACCTTTGGTGGCTCCCTTCTGCCTGGCACCGTGAGGGCTGCCCCCACTCCCGTCTTACTGAATTAGATCCTCTTTCAGACACCCTTGGTGGCAGGAACACTAACCTATCAGCTGTTCCATGTACATGACATTCCTTCCCACTCTCACCCCCCCAAACCACCGTAGCAGCCCTCCCTAGTGTCTACACCACATGCCCCTTTCACCTCTGACTCACGGAATCTCCAGTTTGCCCCAAAGCATAGCTCAGGTGCCACTCCCAGGTCCTGTTCCCGACACTATCTTGGCCATATGTATACGCTGCATTTACTTGGGTGTGTACATATTAAGGGCCCCAATAAAACGTCAGCTTCTTAATGACAGGCAGTTTGGGTTTTCTCTTTGTAGGGTCCAGGGCCTGAGACCACGCTTGCCTATAGATGCGTCCTCAATTGGCTGGTCATCGAGGGTCATCCTTGGGCCAAGCTGGTGACAAGCCTCTGCACTGAGCTGGCCACGTTGGTCCCTGAATAGATGTCTGAGCCAGCACCCGGCTTGTGGGAAAATCCTTTCCACTGCAGTGAGTGTTCAGGTACTCAGATCACCTTCACACCCCAGAAGGGACTGGAGAAGAATCAGGATGACTTACCCACAAACATGTCAACTTTCACTGGACGTGAGCGGCCTCCCCACTGCGGCCTCCAGCTCTGACTTCTCATTTCCCCTATTCTGACCTCCATTTCCAGCAGAGAACCCGGCTCCTTCCCCCCCATCCTATGTCACTAGTTATCTCCACGGTCATGAATGACTTCTCCTGTCCTAGGGGTGCGGTGGAGAGAGCGTGGGTATCAGGAGGCCCGGACTTTGGTCAGGGCTCAGCACTCCTTTGCTACAGGACCCTGTACAACTGGTCACCTCTCTGTGCCTCAATTCCTTCTCTGCCAAATGGGGATGGCAACGATTGCTCACGCCACCCATGGTCACAGGGAAGTGGCGGATCACACAAGCATCTGCACGAGCTAAGGCACCTAGAAGGTGAACCACAGGCTCAGCGTTCTAATGGAATGGTGCTTTCTGACCCCTGGCATTCCCTTCTCCTCCACCCTCCTTCGCCTGTCTCCCTGCCCTGGCTCCACCTAACAACGTTCTGCACAAAGGAGGCATTCAGTCAATATTTGTCGACTGAACGAA